CTCATCTTCTGCATCTGTAAAATGGAAGCAATAATAACTGTACTACCTGTTTCACAGAAGTGCTTTGAGAAAAATGCTTTGCAAACTTTACAGCATTATGTAAATGTGAGGCATTATTATTACTATCATTGTTGACTCATTCAGCAATCAACGCATCATCCTTTAGAATTTCTAGGTCTTGTCATTACTATTTCATCACAATCCAACCACAACTTTCATCTAGTTTATCCTGCTTTTAGATGAATTCTAGTCATCTTCTTTAGTTTATTTCATTTTATTCAAATTGTTCTGTACCATACTATTTCCCAAAGGATCTAAAGTCCCACCCAGTCTTATGCTTCCTCACGAGATCATCAGGCTTTATTCTTCATCATTAGTGGAAATAATAAGTCCTATGGAATTGATGGTGTATTGGGTCTGATATTCTATTCACGAAAACATTTCAACATCATTATTCATATATTTAAATAGCCTGTTTCTTGCTTTTGTCATATTTTAATGTAATGTGGACACATCAAACTCTTGTTAATACTAGAAATACTAAGAAAAGGTGCTAAATAAAGTACATTAGATGCACTATCCCTCAAAAAAGTACAATCAACAATAAACCAATAATAATGCAGAGTATCAAAAATGGTCAAATTTTCTCCCCCCCCCAATTTTCTAGTTCTGAGATTCTTAAATGAAGATGAAACTTCTCTCAGAATACAAAATGCTGGTTTGGGGTTGTTTTAGCATTTTATGTGTGTGCAGCTGTTCTTCCCCTATAAGTATACACATCTGCTCATTAGCAATACAATGTAATTTCCAGTGTCTAATTATTTGCAGATGATAGATTCCTCATACACTGTCTAAAAAAAGTACAGTCCTTCAAAACTAGAGACTAATAAAAAATACCCACTAACTAAAAATGTTGAACACCATGAAGTGGAGACATTAATTTGGCAGGGCTTGTTGCCAACTTAGTAAGAAAGTCACAGAAAGAAAACATATATATTTTAATCTAGCCCATTGATTTTTCACTATGGAAGTCATGTTGGGCTCTTTTCTTTCCTTTGCATTTAGGAATGTTTTGTTATATGAGTGTGGGGAGGAAAAACCCTCTCCTCTTATTCCTTTCTTCCTCCTTTTATCTTTCTCCTTATCCCTCTTTTATTCCACTCCCTTCTCTACCTTCTCCCCGCAACCCAAATTCACTGACTGCCCCTGGAGAAGTAAAGCAAATCAGATTACATAAGATACTTTGTATCTTATGTAATCCACATTCCTATGGATCCACAATTTCACTAATGTAACGTCCACTGATGCAGACCCCAGTCTATCCATGCCTTCTTCTCCTGCACAGATCTAATGCTTGTCCTGCCATAAATCACCAACAGAAAAACTAGTCAGAGATATTTCCCCAGATTCTTTTAATATTTCACAGATACCTATGTAATATTACAGCTGTCCTCTCCCCGCTATGCGATTGGCCCACTTCCTTTTCTAGACATCCATTTCTCTAATGGAGCCTTTTAAACCATTTCTTCCTGACAAGTCATTGTTGGCAATATGCTTTAACCTACTAAAACCTATAATGCCTCTATTATTAACTTTTAGGTTCACTACTGATTTGAATTTTCTAAGATTATGGGTTTCATTGGTTTGAGGCATATTACATCCCTGGAAGAACATGTATGCTATATATACATGCATATACACATGAACGTATGCATACATACACACATACATACACATACATTAATGTGTTTTGAGGTAGAGGTCATTGAAAGAGTTGCTCTATTTTCAAATACAACTGAGCCTATTTTACTATTCAATTTTGGGCTTAGCTTACTGCTATCTATAGTACCTGTCCAAGATAAATGCACCAAGACCGATTCAAGAAGGGATGGGCATAGTTCAGTTTGGCTAGAAAGTCCAATCTATGAAGAGGAGTAAGTAGCATGAGACAAAGTTCAAATGGTAGGCTGGAGCCAGGTTGTAGAGAGCATTGGATGCCAGTCTCAGCAAAGGCTACTTTATTTGGCTGGAGATAGGGAGCCACTTAAGATTTTGGAGTGGAGGCGCATGATCAGAATAATGCATGAGGAAAATAACCCAGGTGGCAGTCTGAAGGGTGGACTGAGGAAGCAAGAAGAGCAGTCTGTAATCTAATTCTCTTAATTTGGTACCTGTCTCCTCCCCCCACCCCCTTTTCTAAGTCCCTTCTCAACCCTTAGTTTACATTCTGGTTCTCTGACACATTTGTGTTTTCACGACCCAGTCCTCCCAAGGACTCCAAACCAACAGGTTAGATACTTATTGCCATTTTTGTCCCTGATGCCAAATGGTCACTGCCTATCCACTACTGCCAGAATCCTTTGACACTGCACTCTACCCATAAGCACATGGATATTTGCCTGGTACCTACTGCTGAGCCTCTCTGAGGTGCTAAGCCAGCAAGCCTACACTCGCTTCCTTTGACTGCTGCTGGGACTTTACTCCATCATCTGCCCTTCTCCTGTGAAACTGCCTGGCCTCTCAGTATTGGTCTCTCAGCCCAATCCATTGTGATAACAAAGCCTTAGTTATAACAAGGACCTTGTAAAGACCATGAGAGTTTAATATGACATTACAAGGAGTTCACTTTGACTTCAGGAAGTTCATTGTTCAGCTAGGAAAAGCCAAATGTTTTCCCTTTCCTACATATCCTGCCCAGAATTCCACATATCCCAGATCATTTTAAAGGTCACCAGCTAGGAAGTCAATGAGGATGGATCTAAATGCAGGTTTTCTTGACCCCAAGTCCAGTACTCTACCCACGGTACCACCTAGCTCCCTACCACACAGGTAAGAAGTGGCAAAATCAGGATTTGTACCCAGACTTTACAGCATTAAATCACTGCTCTTTCTACTATACTACCACTCCTCATGCACATCTTATTTCTCTCTATCATACTCTAAAATTGATAGCAAATAATGTATTTTAAAATTCTCTCCTAGCACAGTACTCTGTACATAATACGTGCTTCATAAATGATTCTCAAATTTGAATTCCATATCCTCAATTACACAGACCTTGTAAATGGCAACAGGCATCTGGATATCTACAGACATCTCTCTGATTTTCTGGAATGAGATCACATGCTAGCTCTACATGGCATTGTTATTGAATAGAAGAGATGGTGATCAATGTTCTGTGATACTTTAATACTTAAATCCTTAGATGGACCTGTGAACTCATTCTTGTGGGTATTCCAACCACCAGTGAAGATCTCAACCTGACTCCTCTCTGAAAGGACCTTTCAGAGTTTGGGTTACACCAGCAGACAAGCAACCTGACATAGGAGAAGGAGCTCTACACCTGGAGTCGACAGACCTGGATTCAAATCTTAGCTCTTAACAGATGTGTGACTGTATGCAAGTCACTTTACCACTCTGGGTGGGTATTGATTTGTCATCTGTAAAATGAGAAATGAATCAGGAGTAGAGAACCTGAGGCCTTGAGGCCACATGTGGCCTTTTAGGTCCTTGGGTGTGGCCTTTGGACTGCGTCCAAGTTTTACAGAACAAATCCTTTTATTAAGGGGATTTGTTATGTGAAGTTTGGGTTCAGTCAAAAGGCCACACTTGAGGGCCTAGAGACCACAGGTTCTCCATCCCTGACCAGATAATCTTTAAAGGCCTTTCAAATTCTATAGTTTATGTTATCATCCTTCAAGAAACTAGGGTTGCCTCCATGATATAATAAGCACCAGAGTAAGCTTTTCATAGAGGTAACAGTTCAAGAAGGGAGATGAAACATGAAATTATACAAATAATAATAATTGTTGTTATTATTGCTTTTTTTCTTTTTCTTTATTGTCCTTGCTGTCACAAGAGAGACTGGAACATAGGTCATACAAGTTTTGAACTGTTTTGAACTTACTCAAACCACCACCACTTGGGTACAAGAAGGTTGGGTTGAGTCTAAGAATGAACAGTCAAGAAACCTATCACCAAAATGGGCAAAAGAGTTCTCTATCTTTCCCAGAAGTACTTTTTACCAAGAGATACATCCCTTGTCCTACTAACATTACCTCCACCAACCCTTCAAAATGTAATATAGGTTTTCAGATATAGGATATATCAAACCTGACTATTATATTTATTGTAGTGATACCACACACAAATACCATACAAACAGGACTATTGTGAAATTGGTATTATTAAATAGTGATTCCCAAATAGGTGGAGATCTGTGAATAGCACATCTGTTACATAGGATTTTTTAGTTAATGGACTTTGTTATATTAGAATACCACACCAGCAAAGCAGTATTGGCATGGCCTTTAGGCCAGAACAAGAAAAATCTTGTGTACTGAGTATTATAATGGTATTCACTCACATGGGAGTCTGCTTTTATGCACATAAGAGTATAGAAAAAACTATGATTGCCATTGTTTGCACAGATATAAATTCATTTCTCTATATAATCTCCTCTATGGGGGATGCTTGAATGATAAACATCATGGGCCCCACTATAGTTGCCCCTGAGAACTGTGCTTTATGTTTTTAGTTCAATTATTTTTCTTATACATACACAAAATCTGACAACAGGGTTTTAAAATATGAAAAAATCTAAACCAAAGGAAATACAGGAAGCATAAATCAGAACAACTTTGGAATGGCTGAAAAAAGACATTAATTTCATAGACAAAAGCCTGCATTAAGGAGGCATAATGTAATAATCAAAGGTGAATGGATTTTCTACTGTCTCATGTTTTTCTCTGTGGGAATTCTCCCACCACAGACAGCTGTAAATGGAGAGGCAGGGGGGAATGTAGGCTTAGTCTAAGTCTGCTTTCATTCTCCTCTCTCTCCTCTTTTCCCCTCTCTCCTTCCTTGTCAATAAATGTCTGCCATCATATTCTTGAACTCCTGTGTGATTTCAAGGTTCATCTCTTCCATGCAGCTCAAACACTAATTATCCCAGCTGTAATTAGTAAGATAATTAAATACTGGCTCACTCATCACTCTACCTTGTGTCGGGTCATGATTCTCCCAGAAGACCTTGAGCAGATTCTCAAAACTGATGTATTCTGGCTGGTACACAACTCGGACAGTTTCTGCATGGCCAGTTTTCTCTTGAAAGAAACAGAAAATGCATCCAAAAGTTAGTATTTGTTTTTGAAACCAAGAAACAGGGGAAAGATAAAATGATAATAAGTATGGATGAAATGAACAATTTTTCCCAAAATGTCTGAAATAGTTTTTGTTGTGTTATTTGTAGACAAAGGCTTTTAGTTATCTTCTTATAGACTTAGAACCAATAGTTCATATTTACATACACTTAGTTCTTTCCAAAGTTCTTTCAGATTGGTGGATAGAACACTATATTTAGAACCAGGAAGGACAGGATTCAAATCATGCCTCAGATGCTTACTATGTGACCCTAAGCAAGTCATTTAACCTCTCTGAGCCTCAGTTCCCTTATCTGTAAAATGGGGATACCACTAGGGCAAAGTCTTGTGAGGCTCAAATGAGAATAATGCATGTAAAGCAACTTATAAACCTTAAGTGCTTTATAAATGTGAGCTATTATTATTGTTTCCTCACAATAACCCTATGAGATAAGCAATATAAACATTTTCTGTCCCCTTCCCCTCTTTCTCATCTTTTTCCTCTCTCTCTCTCTCTCTCTCTCTCTCTCTCTCCATCCCATTTTAAAATGAGGGAAAAGTCACATGGTTAGTAAGTGTTAGAGTTTAGATTTGAAATCAGGTCTTTTGACTCTAAAACCAGTAATCTTTCCTTGGCATCCCTTGTCCTTTTCTGTGAAATTACAATGACCTCATTATGTTCTGTCATAGACAAAAAAGGCAGCATGCGCGTGAGCACACACACACACACACACACACAAAACAAAACAAACAAAAAACCCAGATTGAAACCTGATTTCCAATCAAACCATGGAATTCTAAATAAAACCTTTAAAAGAGTTCTTGAAACATTAAAAAAACCCTGAAAACAAACAACAAAAACAAGCCCAGAAAATGTATGAAAGTGCTGTGTCATGGATACTACAAGTTCAGCTGCAATACTGATAGAGATGGCATTGGACACACAGCCTTTAAAAAACCAAGCTTATAGCTCAATTACTTTAGACAAATTAGTTAACAGAGGAACATACTTGCTATGCTGTTAACACTGTTCCAAGGGTTGGGTTCAAATACTCACTGGGGCAGTAAGTGTTTTCTCCACCTAATTTGTCTCTGTGGTAAACAACTAGTGTTACTAATTCCTGGTTTTTGTTTTTGTTTTGTTTTTTTTCCTGCAATTGTTGTCAGCTGGCCCATTCTCAAAGTTTGTCCCATGAGGGTTACTCCTTGGATCAGAAGGCCAGATGTTTGCTTCAAAGACTTTACGCCTCTGGAATTCATTTCTTCATCATCTTCCTTGATACAATGATTTTATAACCTGCTGTGAAACAACTAATACCTGTACCCTCCATGGCTGGTTATGTTGTCTCTGTATTTTAAAAGTCCATATTTCATCTTTTATCTGCCATCAAAGAAGACTTTAAAGATTTCTAGGGATGGAGCATGAGAGAACCAAGAGCATAGATTCAGGAGTTTGATGTAGCCAGCTCATCCTTTTAAAACTTTTATTTATATATTATAGTCATGTAAATTAACATAGAGGTGACTTTATGCTTAGAATCTGAATCAGAATTTTTTCCTGTTTTTTAAAAAAATTATGTAACAATACAGATATTCCATTTATCTTTTATTTGACAGTTCTAGAAATATTAACAGCTAGCAGCTAGGTGACACAGCGGATAGAGGGCTGGCCCTGGAGTTAATAAGACCTGAATTCAATCACAGCCTCACACACTAACTAGCTGTGTGACTCTGGGCAAGTCATTAACCCTGTTTGCCTCCGTTTCCTTATCTGTAAAATGAGCTGGAGAAGGAAATGGCAAACCACTTCAGTATCTTTGCTAAGAAAATCCCAAATGGGGTCATGAAGAGTCAGACATGACTGAAACAACTGAACAACAACAACGAGAGAAGACAAAGAAATTAAAAGCATGAAGAAAGGGACGACTGAGACAAAACTAGGCATATTTGTTGATATCATTATGATTTTCTCAGGGGTAAATGTAGTTTATCTACCAACATATATAGAGGAACTATACAAATACGACTACAAAACCTCTTTATAGAAATAAAGAAAAACTTTAATAAGTGGAGAGATATAATTTGCTCTTGGTTGGGTCATGTCAATGTAATAAAATTACAATACTATATAAGTCAATTTATTAAACATGATTTATTATTATTATCATCAGGTACAATTTATTAAAAGTATAAGAGCTGAAAAACTAAGTGCATGCCTAAGAAATCTCCTTCCTTCAACTGCAAAGGGAACACTGTAACAACAATTAAGAATTAATGAGAAAGTTACCATTTTAGTTTTTGTGGTTTAGTTGTTTTAGTTGTGTCAGACTCCTCACGACCCCATTTGGGGTTTTCTTGGCAAAGACACTGAAGTGATTTGACATCTCCTTCTCCAGCTCATTTTACAGATGACAAAACTGAGGCAAACAGGGTTAAGTGACTTGCCCAGCTAGTTAAGTGTGTAAGGTCAGATCTGAACTTAGAAAGATGAATCTTCTTCCTGGCTTCAGGCCCGATGCTCTATGCACTGACACCATATAACTGTACCATTTTGTACTTATGTCATTATCATCACCATCATTATATCATTGTGGGCAACAATCTGTTCTGTGAAAATGCTCTAGTTCTAAGATTTAGTTTATTGGTTGGGTTTTCAAAGCAGTGTGTATTTGTAGGAGGATGGTTTGCTGCCAGTTCATGAAGGAGAGTAACTTTCTGATGTATATTCCGAGGCAACAGGTATTGACAGGTGCTAAATTTTTATAGCCTACATTGTTCTGTTGTATCGTTTCTACCATTTCCTTTCATGACATGCATTGATCATCAAATTCTGGTTCCTTAAGGATAACACTTTCTTAATTTATGATGGTTCTGAATTGCCATCAGAAATGCTTCAATTTCCATAAACAAATCCATACGACTCAGCTATTTGTTTGACATTTCTTTATTGAGATATTGTTAGCTGATTTTGTGCAAAAGTTACCCACAAATGGCCTTTTGATTCCTCTCTTGGGGTATTAGCTATTTCACACACTCAGTTTAGAGGTAAATCACTTTCAGTTACATTTGACAAATCCAAGGGTGCATTTCTGCTATCAGCCTTTATTACTGCTCAGTGAAGTAATGACTGCTTGACCCAAAAACATTTCTGTCTGTTTTTGGCCTATTTATCATGTGGTCTTAGAATACTTATCAATCCTCTTCATACTTTGGAATAAGTAAATTTTAATTTTTTTAAACCCGCCTTAGGATAAGAGGCATTGTATTTGCTAATAATGTAACATGATTTTGTGTAGATATTTTCCAAATCATTGTGGTCCATTTTATAATTCTAAAAGTGTACCATTTTAGGACAGTTTTGGAAGTAATACATGGAATTGGTAAGATATTCTTTAAAAGTGGTATTAAATGAAAACTCAAATTTTCACATACAATCCACTTTTTATGCTCTGATGCATATGTAGAAATTCTCATAGTTTTTGGTGTTTAAGTTTGAAATAAAACATTTTTAAAAGACTGATATTGTATAGGTGTTACTTGCTTTAAACCTGCTCTTCTCATTTGTCATTACTTTTATTGTCTCTGTTATTAGTTATTATCAAGTTTGCTCTATAAGATTATCTTCATCATAGTCAACATTTTTTACATTTACCAGTTAAAATATACAAATTGTTCTTTTACAGAAGGGTGGAAAATTCATGGTTCTTTGCATTGTAGATCTCACACATAACATATGGCTTGCACGCTGGATCACAAGGCCATACGAATTAAGGCATCTGCATGACCTGGTGACAGCAGACCCTCTAATTTCAGGGGAAGTTCCTAAAGGGAGAAAGCAGTCTCTAAAGTGAATTTAAAAACCTCATGTAATAAAGTGATAGCAAATGTTACATATGAAATGGTCTAAATCAGGAGTCTGTGCTAACTTTAACATGGAGATTTAGCAGTACTACTTAGAAATATGCTTTCCTTTACTGGATATTACATTGGGCAAATTTATAGGTATAATTAGAGACTGATATGTTTTTTTAAAAAAAATCTTTGTACAGATATTACATTCAGAAAGGTTTAAAAGTAGCTTAGTCAAAGTCTTTTATAGCTGCTACCCTTAAAACTCAAGATCTCTCTGCATTGATAAACAGTGAGGTGATGCCTCTGTCAAATTCACCTTTATGTTTCTTTACTTTATTTCTCCAAAGCAGAGCAACCTGTATAAAACTACACAGTGTAAATGATCAAAAGGATTAAGGGCCTATGAACAACTCACAGTAATCCTCACATTTTATAGGAACAAACCAGTGTCCTAGGCTAATCTGATTTCTGAGATCAATCTGCAAACACTGTCTTATGCTTCACTGAGATAAGGGCCAGACTTTAAAACTATGATGAGCTTTGATCACACATGCTGTGCAAATGACATGAATTGATGTGATGTGCAAATGTGCTTGTTAAAGAGTCAAAGCAGCATAATATGTGTTTTAGCATGTGGATGAAAAATGCCTTTAAAAGCAAAGATGTTAAAAGAAATGTTGAGTTTCATTTTGGTGGGTTTTTTTTTTCTTCTCCTCCATAGGCTCTCCCTAAATACTCAGCAGGAAATAATAGCAAGGGGGTAGATTCTGGGCAACCATTGGAGACCTTATAAAACTTTCTAAAAGGAAACATAAGGTTTGGTCCATGTGTTAAAACACTAGGGATTCTGGACTAAAATCTACACAGAAGGTAAGTTCCACATGGAACCATGTGCCTTCACAGAGCAAACCAAGGTCAGCTAGCCAACTGAGAGCAAGGCCTGTTCACAATTTTCTGCACATGAGTAGTCATGTGCTCAACTGTACTATATTTAGCATGGTTGGTTTGTGATTGCAATGGTACCAAATATATGTATCCAGTTATCATGCCAACATTAGGGGCATGTTTCACAGTCCAGTTCAGCGTGGATGGCCACTTCCTTCTATTCTGTC